ACGACAGCATCAGATCCGCCTACAACATCAACCTCGTCCTCCTCCTCGGAGTCAGGCTCTTGATCGACTTGACCCATCATCTCGTTCATGCATGCCGAGGACTTTAATTTGATGAGGTTGAACTCTGAGCACACCGAGGCCACTAGCATCCAACACAACTTGAATCCTTGACGAAAAGCGTTGGACCCGAACTCCTCCATTTCCTTCAAGAAGTCGAGTGAAGTCTTGAATTCTTCAATTGCACGAACCTTGGCATCATGGATGTCATTGAGAAACACTGTTTCTCAGTGAGCTCGACTTCTTTCTCTTGCAACTTTTGGTCCTTGAGCCCGAGCTCCTCAGTCATCTTCTTGACCTCCCTTGTCTGGTCCACAGTGCGGCTCGCTCCTCCATGAGCTCGTCTTTCAAGTCGCCAATGAGACAGATGGCCCACTCAATTTGGGACATGTACTCCGCTGCTCCCTCCTCAACAGCTTGGGCCCTCGCTAAATTTCCCTCAGCCTGCCCCAACAAGGAGTGCACCAAAGTGTTCACCTACAAAAGAGAAAAAGGGAAATAAGTCCAGAATGGAGATCAGAATCAATGCGATGGAAATGTCGGGAACATACCACCATGAGGCAACACATAAGCTTTCCACCAACCTCACTAGGATGTGATTCGTGAAACCTTGCGACCTCTTCGGGAAAGACGACCCCCTTGCTCTTCACCAAGGTAGTCTAGAAGTTCATGATGGTGCGCCTCTCCTCAGGATCGGTCTTGGCATTCAAACTACTGGTCGTCTTGATCTCGGGTGGTGGAAGGGGCTCCTCGGATGTACGGGCGGCCTTGAGATCTAGCAAGGTCCTTTTTGGCTAGTCTCCCTCAACCAGGTCAACAACCAGCATGACCTCAACAACACTTTGCACGATAGTCTCTAGAGTAGCGACCTGAGGTGCCTCTTGGTGAGCCACCTTCCTCTTATTCATCTTCATGGCCTAGAACAGCCTAGAAGTTGGCATGCCCGACATGTTTCCTACACAAGAAATCTAAAGGTGAGCCGAACTGTAAAAAAAAAAAAGAAAGTAAAGAAGGAAAAGAAAATGCCCAAGCCTGAAACGATGACCTACCCGGAAGACTCAACCAGCCTGGATCAGCTTCTCCTCAGCCAAGTGCTCACTCAGCATTGACTTTCAGTAGTGGACCAGCACTCTTGCCTATATTCGCTCACTTAGAGGTTCCTCCCCGGTGTCCCTCACTCCCTCTCTCTAGGTTGTCAAGAACGACTATCTGCTACTTAGGTCAAGGAATAAAAACTTCCTCTTCTAGGTTGGTACCTTGGAGGGAAGCCGTTCAATAGCTTACACCCAGGGCGGTAGGACAAGTAATAACTATACATCTTGGGAGTACTAGAGGGGTTTCTCATTATATGGCATATGGCAGTGAAGGTCTTAACATCTAGGGGAATCCGATGTGGTGACAGAAGGAGGTGGTGCCGACTAGGGTCCTAATGGAATTGGGATGAAGTTGACCTAAGCTAATGCTATAGTAGTTCAACACCTCGGGAATAAGTGAATGAAGGGGGAATCGAAGACCCATTTTCAAGGCTTCCTCGAAGATAGGGACCTCATCTTCCTATTGCTCCCATGGGTATTGCCCCAGGGGAAAGGAATATCTAAACTGATTTGGAATCCTATATCGAGATGCGAGCTCATAGAACTTCTCGGCAGAAAGCTCAGTGGGACCGAACTAGTTCGGTGCTTTAACCTTACGAGAAGACGAGGCCCTTTTATGAGAACCTCGTCGATCTTGAGCCAAGGTCCCTTCCTCGGCCTAGAAGGGCGGACACCTCTCTTCCCTAGACTCACTACCAGACATTATGAATATAGCAGAACTAAGGGAGATGACTCGCCTAGCACAAGTAAATCGACCTCGCTAACAACACCGACAACTCCAACAACGTCGAGCTCCACAATCTCACTAGAACTTCAAAAATTGGGATGAGAGAAATGGGCCCCTGAGGGTCCTATTTATAAACGGATGAACCAAACTATGGACGATTGAAATCGGTTAGATCCAACGGTTTACAAGGGTGCGACGGTTCGTATTTTGAGGTGAAATCAGTTTAGCACGCTTTTGACGTCCATGCAACCTAATGGTTGCGTGGCATCTGTGTGTCCCTGGTATGCTACCTTGTGCCTAGGCCAAAGTCGGACTGACCGATCTAACCTGATCCTGAGCCATTGGTCGGACCACAAACAAGGACATAAATTAGATCAAATCACATTGGGTTAAGACTACTCCCTCGTCGGACTGATCACGTTGGGAGTGAGAGGCAATTGATGATGGGTAATTTGGTCCTCCAATGATATGCCGGCATGTGGCATTGTAGAACAACATAATGACACCTCGGCACCATGTAAGCAGACCCTAGGAGCACTTCGGACACTTCACAACTACACCAGCAACCTTGACACCACCCCAGTAGGTCAAATTGTGAACAGCTAGGCAAGACCTTATGTCGGTGTAAGAGGCGACCTACTTCCACCGATCTGACTTGTTTCCGGTTAGCGACCTGCCTGATGTGCCAAGTGACCTCCCCCTTAAGCGAGCTATTGCCTCGAATTCTCCGGGATCATGACACCATGTAGGAAGAGTTAGTTATCTCCTCACTCGCATTGGGCGTGATTGGATAGACATTATCAGCTTACAAGGAATCCACTTCCAGGCGTGGAAACCACCTCCGAACTAGACGGGCTAGAAATCCCGGACGCGTTTCGTGAGGCTCACGGCATCTCGTCTATATAAGGGCCTCACCTCCAACCTCATAAGGTATATGTGATTTAGCACTCAAGCTCTCTAGCTCTCTCTTGCTTTCTAGCTCTCAAAAAATTCTAATTCGTTGATTTAAGCATCAGAGTACCCACATCGGGTAAAATAGCTCAGGTACACTGGTCCTCTCTCTTTCTTTACAACTCAACCAAATAACCTACATAGTCCAGCATCCGAACTGTCCTCCAACAGGGACCTTCTAGATTGTGCACCATCAATATCTTTCCCACATCATTGATTTATCCTAACATACATTGAAAATATCTCTCAAAATTATCGGTGGAAAATGTTACTAATACACAGTTGGGATATGCTGTAGAGTGTTTGTGAGGCGCATATGTAAATTCAGCTTGGAACGCAAGAAGCCGCTTCCTAAAAACCCTCCCATATGGGCACTAGTGCACTACAACACAACTGATTAATTATAATGGTGGGCGCCAACTCCATTTGCACTAAAATGGAAAAAGGGGGTTTTAGAACTACCAATGGGTTGGGATGGATTGAATGTGGGCTGGCTCAAGACAACTACATCTAAAAATACACGTTATAAATAATAGATCTGGACCTGATCCTGTTAGGAAATGGACTTATTGAGTTTATCCAATTAGCCCTTGTTTGGGATTACTTAGCTTGCCACATAATTTTTAAAATATCTTTAGTACCTCATTTAAAATAAACTTTTTTCACCAAATATTAATAAACATTTATTAGGATAAGTACTTATTTATCCAATAAGTGGCTATATCAACACAATTAGAAGTGACAAGCTTTTAGTTTGGTAATTTGACAAGAAGTCTGTAAATTTTTTTTTTCTGTCTTTCAGAATTATGTTATACATCCCCGATGGCTCAATCACACGTGTGTGAGTGGATGTATACATGTATTAAAACAAAGCCTTTAGCTTCTTCTTCAAGCATGTTGTTAGCCAATCAGGTATCATTTATCAAAATTCATGTGTGAGTTTTGATTGATAAAAGCTCTTCTCATACCATATCTTTTCTACATCATAGATCCCCCCCTCCCGCAAAAAAAAAAAATATGGAATTCCCGTTTTTAAGAATGTTGTTGTCGTTGTTTTCTTCCTAATGTGGAGGTTGCTTTTTCGTTTTGAAAAACGAAATCATTCATGACCAATAACGTGGGTCCCAAATAAAATATGAGGAATATTTGGACTATATTGAGAGTGAAGAGTAAACTATGAGAAACATTGAAGATGTACACCCACCTTCAATTCTAGCCATTTCCATGGTTCTCTTCCATTCTTCTTTTTCGCTAGAAGGGTCCATTGCTCCTTGGTAGGGGAACTAGAAATGTGAAAGTGTTCTCCCATTGATAAATCATTGTCCACTGAATATTTTTCATAATTCTGGAGAGTTTGGGTGGATAAGCATTAGAAAGGGATGTTTCATGGAGAAAATTAGGGTTTTGCACCCCAACTTTGACAAAAATCCAACACTGGGAGAAGATAATATCATGCGCACATCTTAAATCTGTGGATAGGATCTCAAATCAATGAAAAGGTGTCCATGTAAAATAGCATCTCAATTTCATTTATTTCAAAATCAAACCTTGACATAAGCCTCAATTGCCACAACACCGTCGGTGGGTACTAAAACCACCTTCACCACATTACAGTCCGTTGTTTTTTTGTGGCTTTTGAGGTTTTGACGAGGTGAATGGATAAAAGTTAAGCTGAGTTGGTGTCCAGACATAATGAAGAGATCACCCAATTAATTGATTGCCACTTTTATGATATTGGTTGATTCGATATAAATTCTTCCGGTACTCTCTAGATAAGAGATGGATTTAAGTTAAAGTTATAAGATAATATAAGCACCCATAACTTAATGGTGAATATAACATTGAATAGAACAAAATGGTAAAACAGGATTAATGCAGCAAATCCCTAATTGGGGCAAGGCTTAGATAATGTAAATCCTAAAAAGCATCAATGGCTTATGGCGCTAGGTTATGGACCAAATAAAAACTGACAGTAGCATAGGATTCCAACATTCAACATGGATCACATGCTGACCCCTCGAAATACAGTATTTGTATCTGTATTTTGTATTCTTCCCAAACTGAGCCTCGGTTCACAGCAACAAGGATATTTCAGTGTTCTAACCAAATTCTGTTACGAGTAGCGTCTTATGTGGTTGAAAAGAGAATGTCAAGCATTATGGGGTGCCACAGAAGTGAGAAGTTTAACAATATAAACACATCATAACCCAAATTCAAAAGATTGGGTGAATAGATATAAGTACAGCATTTGTGATAACTTAGAAACCCTAAACAATATTTTCTTTACAAAGTACTAATGAATCCGCCCATTTGACACCTCCGCGTGAAACAACCGTGGATCTGAGAAAGAGTATAGTTTTATGGTGTTTCAAGCTTGAGCAACAGGCAACAGCCAAGAGGTCCAGGATGAAAAATGAACCTACTTGTCATTGATTCAAGGATCTAATTTTGCCTTATAGCTTGAAGGTCCTCAATAATAATACTGGAAAAATGTCAAAATTTTAGCACATGACCTGATGTGCCCAATACAACACTTCTGCATACTGTAAGCAATGAATTGATTCTTCACTCTGTAACCTCAATGCTACGGAAAACGAAGAAGTCATTCTGTACCCGCGATCAGATTTGCCAAATCTGGTATTGGTTGATTCTTCCTTCTCAAGAAGCCTTCAGGGCATTCATTTTATCAGTTATCTCTTTAATCACTCATGCCATCACTTCCTTCAAAATCACTAAAACCAATGATAGCTTCACTGACATCTTCATCAGTTTCCATATCATCTTCAGGTTCCTCTTCTTCGCTTTCATCCTTATCTTCATAAATGATGGGTTTCATTGTGCTTTCTTCATCAGCCATATCTTCCAAAATCTAGTAGGAAAAGATGTTGTTAGGTTGATGATCAATAAATGAAAAAGGTACAAACTTAATCCATTATAACACTCACCCCTGCAAAACAGTAGTCTAAGCAGCTTGATAGTTGAAGAGCTGACTGAAAGGTTGAGACTCTAGATTCAATGAGCTGAAAAGGGGTAATAAAACATGGTTAGAGAATGTTCAGATGCCTTGAACCTAGATACATAGCTGGAACATGAGGCAAAAAGGAATATGGCATAATAGATGGTAATGATTGTTCATTTTGAAATGACTATTGTTTGATAGATCTCCTTTATGGGTTTGATTCAATAAAAGACCCAACGACACAGCCATGCCAATGTTGGATCTGTAGAGCACAGAGCACGTTTAGGGATGAATACAACATACTGATGTTAGAATTCTTTCCCAACAAGGATTTATACAAAAGGATATACAATAAAGTGTTAATAGCCAAAACAACTTTGGAAAGCATTATCCAGACTACACAAATCTTGTTTTGTCATTCCACTTTTGAGGCCATCTACTGTAAAATTGCAAGTCTTCACTCTTCAGGTCTCTATACAAATAATACATTGGCTGGAGAGGCACCTGAATTTTGGCAAGTTCAAGGAATGAGTTTGCTTATTTGCAGCATGTGTTTTCTACCAGCCTGTCACCCGCATGACACCTTCCATTATTTACATTTTCCCCTTTCAAATACATTGCATCTTCTATTTAATTACAGGCTCTGACCTGGTATAGAGAGTTGAGTGCAAAAAACGAAGACTCCTGGGACATTATACTGCTTGCATGCTGAAGAAGTAGACTTCTAAGCCATGGAAGAGCACAAGCCAAAACTGCACCCCTATTTGTACAAATTCAGATATACACATACATCAGACTCATATCATAAACCTTAGACAGATGATCAACATAAATTGAGGTTCAAGCACCTAGAGGATCATTTAAAACCAACCTACTCAAACCTTATTACAGGCTATTTATTATACCATCAGCATGAAACAGACCAATCACAATTAAATACATGATTCATTCACCATCTATTTTCATGAAATCTTTCAAATGAAGAACTAAAGTGGTGAATACAATGTCACACATACAAACTATCCTTTCCTGTTGGACTCAAAATAAATCCTGCTACTTTACTGCAAACAAGGTATGTTTGGTAAAAAACACATGGGAAAAGAGGGTGGTTTAGTGAGATTCACATGTAAGTACCAGAAACTTTGTTGGCTGTGCACTAGTGGAAGTTTTTTCCATGTCCAACTGGAGAAGATTCAAAATCATGTAAAATCCCTCACTTATTGCTTGCAATTAGAGTGCGTTTTAAACCCAATTAAAAGGAACAGATACTATATAAAATTCTTAGCCAACAAAAACTGATTGAAGAAACACTCTGACCAAGGGCTGGCTAGACAGAACCTACTCATGGATTATCGTGGACCAGAATGGCCTGCCCACTTTGCTAAACAGCCCGCCCCAGTTGTCATATTGACTGAGGGAAAAAAAATGGTCCGACTGACATGTGGACCTACTGTCCCTAATGCATACCATTCTTTAGGCCCATTGATCCAGTTGCATAACACAATATCAGAGGCATGCTTCAAAGTATTATTAACAAGTAAATGTCAAAGGCATGGTTTGAAAAAGGAATGCTAACAAGCAGCTTAGATGCACATGCAGCACAATGCAGACATGATGGGGTCCAACAACTTTTTTTTTTTACCTCGACTGTATGATAGGCATCAGGAAGTCCAAAAGCTTGAGAACATCAGATGGATTTAACAATGAGGTTGAATTTGCAATAACCTGCAAGCCAGTAACATATCATGCTAAACACTAAGCATGCCTGCAAATGTCCCAAATAAGATAACAAAAGCAACAATACAGATAGCACAACCTGTAGAAAATGCAATTGTTAATTATATAGCTAAAGTGGAACTGTGGAAGTCTGACCTTTTCATCTTGGTTGTACAAACAATCTAAGAGAAGTGCACGATCATCAGCATGAAGTGCTTGCTTGAGCAACACATGAACTGAATCTGCACTTGGGAGATTTGTTCCAAAAGAAGGTTCTTGTTTTTCAAGGCCATTGGCCTTATCATTATCAATCAAATTTAGACTTGCAAGCTTCTCACCCATGGTTGGCTCAGTTAAATCATCATCAACACGGATCCCATCCATAGCCTCTGGCAGAAATCCACAATAGGTTAGTCTATGAATTATGATAGGTGCAAGAGCACCTTAAGTCTTCACTTTTTTTTCTCAGGAATATCTTAGGCACCCTCCTAGGTGACCACAAACAAGACCCAATACAGATCTAGCATTATGGCAACTTACAATATAGGCAAGGTTCACAGTATCAATACAATACACCCCACATCAGGCATATCGTATCATATCTTTAGGGGTCTGATACACCTGTTTTCAGGAACCTTTTTTTATGAATATATATATACATATATATATATATATACATATATATATGTATATGTATATATGTATATGTATATAAAATTGAAATTTGAAAAAAAATTAAAAAAAAAAAACATTAAATGCACATGGTTTAAAGTACTGATACACCTCTGCCAATACAAAGAGATGTATCGATACTTTAACCATGAATATAAGTAATGGGTTACAAGAGATGTCTAATGTTCAAAACTAATTAGAGATCATATTCTTCTGATGTTACAACCGTTTTTCTTTATTACTGGTTGCCCAGAGAAAGTGAAGAAAACCTGGAGTTGGGATAACCAACTCAGTAACTATGAGCCTATCAATTCTAAACATTGCCCTATCAATTCTAAACATTGCCCTTCTTCCATAAGTTTGTTGAACTAACAAAATTTTTACTTCTTTCCTTCAAAGCAGTTTAATTTCTTCATAGTTTGATTAGTAGTTCTTCAGGGGTTGGGTGAATTTACTTTCGTTAACTAATGATTTGTTTTAGAAGGCATGGGAGGCATACACCTGGAGGTGCACCTCCAGGTGAGACGCCCCAAAAGCGTCTCGAGGCATTGACACCTCTGAGACGTATGCCTCATACGCTTTTTTCACGAGGCATCCTAGAGGCGTATGCCTCATGCACCTCACGCTGTCATGCACACCTCATATAAAAAGCCAAAAGAAAAAAGAAAAATAAAGGAAAAGAAGGAAAGGGAATGGAAAGAAAAAGAAGGAAAGGGAAAGAAAAAAAAAAGAAAAGAAAAGAAAAGGGAAGGGAAGGGAAGGAAAGAAAAGATAAGGGAAAAGAAAGTGGGCCGGGGGCAAAGCCCTCAGACCCCCTTGGCTGGGGGGCATTGCCCCCCCACTCCGGCTTGCTCACTTTGCTCACTTGCCTCCACTTCAACAAGACCCACCCTTTCAACTAGTGCTATGCATCTTCATTCTTCTTAATATAAAAGATTTTTATTCAAAATAAAAAAACAATGAGCTCCTCCTTCCTTTTCTTCTTCCTCATCCCCCTCCTCTTAAGGAGGCTTATGCCTCTTACGTTCTAAACTACGCTTCACACCTCTAGGTAGTGGAATGCCTCGCGTCATGCCTCTGTGCTTTAAAACATCGCTCATTTTTAAAACATTTTGTTCATGTGCATGCAGCCATGCCTGACCATGGGATTCAGAGATTTAGAAGCCCACGTGCTTTGTTGAGTCTCTCATTTTTAAAACATTGATGAGTAGGTAAAAGAATGAAAAACAATCCCCGCTTTAAAAGATATTCAAGGGGGTGAGAAACATAAGAATATGTCGACTATACAATCATATTGAGACAAAGAAAAATTATGACAGAAAAAGATAAAGATTAAAAGATACAATCAGCCCTGTGGGATAAGTCCCAGGTTTTGGTGTGTCAAAAATGGTTTGACTCTACCATTCCTTCCCTTGCTAATGTTTCAGCAATACCATTAGAAGATCTAGAGCTCCATCTGAAAGAGCTGTTCAGCCTGGTTGCCAAGCCCCTTGCTTTATGTGTTTTCTTTGCAGAAAACATCAAATTGGTGATATATCACAAGAGATCACAAAGAGTGATCGGTGATAGAGAAGAGAAGAAACAAGAGAGTTAGAAGAGAGAAGGTTATAAGAGGAAGATTCAGGGTTCAAAAAAATGGTTAGACAGTGTTTGCCTTCACCATGGATAGGAGTGAGTTTTCAGACACCCATAGAGTTTTATTGAGATGAACCATCCTTTGGCTTTTGCAGGAGTTTATTCACAGTATATTTTCTGCTGAAAGCCAATTGCAAGTTACACTTGGCCAAGACCTCTTTTCATCAGCTGAACATTTAATGGTGATAGAGACATGAACCAAACACAAACAACTTTTGCAGAAAACAATCAAAAGGAAAAGGCATTGGCCCTCAAAAATCAGAATAAATAAAGAAAATGGAAAACAACCTTTTGAAAAGTGCAGAGAGAGATGGTAAAGCAACTTTCAGTATTATAAACATAAAACAGGATCATCAATTTGGTGAGTACCATTGTCCAGGACATGATAGACTTCTAGTAATGATGGACGGCAGTACATCTGATTGACTCAACTTCAAATTGCAAATAAAGTAGTGACATCAGCCTCCATGAATGTGTAGTGCAAATATGGCACAGTCCAAAAAAGGGCATTCTTGTTTGTTTTCATATAATCACATCCATCTTTGAGTTCACAACAACTTACAGCAGCTGTTATGTATACCACCCATTATTTCTTGTGGTTTTGTAGATTTAACAGTTTATGTTTCTTTCTTAGGAAATCAAGTACAGCCCTCCATGCCTAAGGCAGGCAGATATTTCAGTCATCAAGCAGTTATTCTGGTACAGTGGTTGCAAGATTTCCATTAAAAAGGTTATCCCTAACCCATAAATCTAGTAACAAAAACTGAAATTCTAACTCCAATTGAAAGAAAAAGCCTTACCAAAACCAAATGTGTTCCCTGTAGTTATAATGTCTTGATCTGGTGCAGCCCTTTTCTTATTTACTTTTTTCTTCTGCATTGGTTCATCTGCTGCTTTTGACTCCAGCTTCTGGATACTCGGAGCAGAATTTTCTGAATTGGGCACAAATTCTACATTTTGTAATTACAATAGAAAAGGCAAGACCGAGCAGCTAAGATAAGCACAACTTTGTAATTATGCACAAAATCTTAAAATATCAACCATGTCACATTGTGGAAATAGAAAAATAAAATATAGCAAGATAGAAAATCAATTTAATCTAAAGAGAGGTATCAATGATATTTCCAAACAAATAAGTGATATACATTTTCTAATGTGTCTAGTATGATAATAACACCAACTTCCAATCAAGCATATAAATAAAGCTTGAGTTTGATATCTCATACATGCAACTAATATCATCTAGCTTACATATTGACTGGTATTAGCTCCAAAAGAATAGAAATTATCAATAGATGCATCACAATGATGAAAGTTCAATAACAATGATGGGTAAAAATGTCAATAATTCTTGTAAATTCAAAGATGACTTATGCAAATAAATTCAACTCATTAAAAACTTCCATGACTTTATGGGGTGCATAATTTATATTGAAGTGAAAATTTTATAACTAAATGCAAAAATCAATCCTCCAAAAGCAAAGTATAATATAAGAAAAGCATTTCAACAGAAGCAAATGACATAAATTCCCCATTATAAGTTATTAACCCATAAAGACCACATAACAAAAGGTAAGGGAAGATTTGTCTATGCTAATATCAAAAGTATGCAATGATGACCATCTATGAGCACACAAGGGAATGAAATACAACCAAGAGATAGATAAGGGGGAAAGCAAGTTTAAGCAATAGAAAAAAAAAATTGTATCATTTTACATATATCATGGAGCAGAAGAAGGAGATCCATTTGTCATACCTTTACCTCCAAGATCTTCATTTTCTTGAAGACTGCCAGCTATAGTTCTTGACATCATATCTCCAGCAGTAACAATAATATCCTCCCCTGGGTTAGTAATCTCCAATACATTAAAATGTGGACAGTCTATGGAACCATATGCAATAAGGATAGAAATTGGCTTATCCATCTCTAAAGCTTTCAATCTAGCAGATATGACAGGAATACGACCCTTCTTGGCACTTCCACTCTTTTGTCGGTCAGCTTTTGCTTTGATAGACTTGACCATGATCTTTGTAGGGCTAACCTTGTCTTGTGAAATGGTCTTTAAATCCCACAAGTAAGCAATACCAGACTCTGTAACTGATAGGACAACCAAACCATCTTTGTCCTCGGAAGAATTTTTGCATTCTAACATAAATGGAGGATTTTTCATAGAAAGGGTGGGCCCGGTAGTTCCATCTGTGGTGCTGGAATCACAGTGCCACACTTGAAGCTGCTTATCCCCAAATCCTGAAGTAACAATGGCCTTGGCACCATCAGAAACAGCCATATATTGAACAGAATCCTGTAGCAAAAAAAGGCTTCAAATGTTTTACCATCATGATGAGAACTGACTAGATATGTGATAGTGGAAGAAATAACTAACCAGATCAAAGGGAAACTTCTGAAGCTCTTTCCCATTTTCTAAGTTAAATACCCGTATCTTAGAAGATGCTACAGCTAGAACTTTCTCATCTGGCATCAAAAGAAATGATTAATTTTTCAAACAAGAGAAATAATTGCTTGGATAAGGTATCACGTTAATGACATGCAGGAACCACAATTTACTAACCAGAAGAAAGAGACAACGATGATATGGACTTTTTTGAGGCCTTGAATTTTCTCATAAGTTCTCCAGTTTGGGGATCCACTTCAGATGCCACTCCATCAGCACCAACACAGAGAAGGGCATTGCCTCCATTTAGAAAATAGAGACCCAAAGTTCCACTGGGTAGAAAAGTGGGAGAAGGATGTTATTATCTAGAAAATAACATGTAATGGATTATAAAAAAAGAACATTGAAGAATATTGAATCATAGAGAAAAGTAATCCACAAAACTAACAAACTATGGATATGTGGCTTTGTAGCAATAAGTTATAAATGACAAACTTCCCAGTAAGGAGAGAAAAAACCAAGCGTCCCTATGAGAAGCTCCTTTTTAAGAGTTCATAAATAATTGTGGAGGAATAATAACAAATTATCTAACTTAAGTCAAATAAGCCTCATTTAAAGTTTAGCTGCTAGCATCTGATATTCAATAGAAAATTTTAAGAAACAGCAATGCCATAAAATTGATCAACTTAATACCATCTATGTTTAAAGAACAAATATCACCAACCAAATAAAATTATTTAATTAAGAACATCTAATCTATATCAGTCTGGTCTAAGGTATCCTGTCTTTTAAGGTGCTTGCAAGTGTAATCCTCAAGGACAGAAGCAATCAAATGCCTGAGCTGCATATCTGAAGTGTGACATTATTAGTAGGTGAGCACCTCATGAACATATCTTGTATGTTTAAAGGAAGGAAGAAAATGAAGAAAAAATAAAGAACTGCAGAAATTAGGTTGCTTTAATTAACTCTAGTTACTTTACAATTCAATTAGTATTAATATAAGTTAATGAGTTAATCTAGTTCTTTTTTTCTTGATCAGCAACAGCTATTGATTTCGTTGATATATGTAAAAAGCACGTGTTAGTCTAGCTGTATCAATAGCACACACAACACAAACAAAACAATTATATTCTATGGCTAATAATACCGGGACATCTTGTCATTGACAACTGAGGATGTTCCCCTAGTGAAAAGCAAACGATCCCCCCTAAACATAATAATAAAAGTTCTTTCAAATTCCAATAGAGTGCATATTGACTATTACAGGTTTCATGTCATCCTATTTTATTTATTTATTAATTGATATATGACAAAAGGTGCGCTCATGAAGCTTACTAATCACCTATTGCACAATGGAAGACCTGACTTCCAATTTAACATATTAACCGTTGGTAGTGCTAGGCCGAAAGGATATAGTGCCACAACTACCACGACTTATCTTGAACATTACCAAACACATACGTATAATGGTCTGATCAAGGAGTGCTCACTCAGCTTACCTAATGAGAGATTGAAGCCCTCCTGATCTTTTAAGAATCCAAAAAATAGTTTCAATCACCCCTAGGTGAAAAGTGAAAACTATACCTGAACAGGCAATTCCAATTATGAAATCCACAATCTTCCAACTACAAAAACCCTCCTGGTTTGCTGTTATTGTTATTTTGACTTCTTTTTCTCTAATAAATAGAGATCATGTTTGTTTGTTCTTTTCTTTTTAATGAATTTTTATTTATTACAAAAAAGAATATTAGCCATGCTTTATTAAGTATCTTTTGTTTAATTGCACATAGGAATCCTATTACATCTGAAGCTCTGAATATTATTTTTTACTGAAAAGGAAATAAAGGAAAAATCCACATATAAGTTATATTTACCGGTCTGCATTTCAAGATCTGTTATTAGTGTATTACCTAACAATTCACAACATTTACTCAAAATATTAAGTAAAATATCCAACATGGGAATAAACCTACCCAGGGTGGCATTCAGCAGATGTCCACTTCTTCTCACCAGTGGAAACATTAAAGGCCAAAATGTTGCCAGTAGTTGTGCCTAGAGCAAGTAAGATTGTACCAGAGCCTTTTCTACGCTGAAAATAAAAATATAGTCAGAAACCATCTAGGTATTACATATCCAAAATACAGAAGTTGCACAACAGAAGATCCATTTGCCTGAGAATACCTTTTTCCCAATGAAGATACATGCCAAACAAGAATAACAACGGTCAGATTCTTCATCTTGCTCTTTAAACTCTGCGAACAAATTTCCATTGCTTGTGTTCCAGATCTGTAAGTTGCAGGTTTTGTTTTCTTTAGAAAGTAATCAGAAAATGGACCAACTAAATTGTCTACTTGAATAAGTAAATAAGAATTACAGAAGCAAATAACAATAACCAAAGGATGCCCATGTTAACAACCAACAATGAGGCAAGAGAAGACATATCCGAGTACAGAAGAGCAGAACACTCCCAAGCCACAACAAGTCCAAAAACAAAAATGAAGAGGGTATGTGTTACAAACCAACCAGTTAACATAGAACAAGCAATAACTTCTAGTGGTTATAATTGCATAAGGATGAAGTTAAAATCACTAACTACCATTCAAAGAATGAAAACGAAAAATGAATCAAAGAGAATCACTGACTTCTACGAATTTTAGAATACTAAAAATGGCAATTGCAAAAAAAAAAAAAATAGGTATTCTTCAATTAACTTAAATCCCAAATCAGCCCTTAGGCTTTACTTTCAACTAGCCTATTAAGAGAAATTCCCAGGCAGGCTTCTTCGACGAATATGACATCGTTCAAGAACCCGCCAGTGACCTCATATAATGTTTATTTTGAAAATTTCCACTACAAGCTTCATCGTTGGTCCAATTCATCAATAAAGAGCATTTGTTAGGACGGATTTTTGCACAACTACAACCATTAATGTTTCAATGGGCAGTTTCCAAACTTATTCAGAAAATCTAGTTTCTGAACAAGCACTAGTTATGAAGTAGAGAAAAAGGCATTAGCCAAAGTCCTTTTCAGGTAAAAGCATCTGGGTTACGTGAAATCAAAGTATTGATGGCCAAGAATCCCCATGAGAGAGAGAGAGCACTTACTTTAACAACCCCATCTGGAGATAATATGGCGAGGAAATCACCGTCGGGAGTGAAAGCAGCGTGGACAGATTTCAAGTTATGGCTCACCATCTCCGTCAAGCAGAAGAGCTGCTGCTGCTGCTATTCGGTGTGTGCAAGCGAGCAAACAAGAGAGAGGGCTGCCGAACCAGGGTTTTAGCGCTTTGGGGTTGAACGAGCGAATATCCGAAATTACCCCTCGATCAGCTAAATAAATTCTGGAGGGAAACGCTGTTGGTTAAGCCCTTTTGAGGAGGGCTTCAGCTTTGATGGAGCTACGTTGACTGAACCAGTTTGAGAGGTGGCTCAGTTGGTATGTTAGCTGGCTCGTTCCAGATGGGATTCGATTCCTGCTGCCACCAAATTTAGGAGGAGGGGTTACAACTTACAAGTGTGGTTTTGCCTTATTCAAAGGTCGGGTACGCCTCTCAATGATATCTAAAAATTGGAGGCCCGATCCAATTCAATTATATAATTGGATCATATTTGGATTTTACAAATTTCATCCGATTCTTAATCGGATTTAGATTTCATTTCATCTGAATTCGATTATTTTTGGGATGTTTGGAATTGTGGCCATTTTTCAAAAAAACGGTGTCATATTGGATTCACATAGGCGCATGTATCTCATTGTTTGGTCCAGTTGATTATTAAAATATCGGGTATGTCTCAAAAATCGGGACCCACCGATGTGTATCGGTGAACCGTTTTCCCCAAGGGTTGACTAATGTGTATCCTATGTGGTGCTTACTTGTCAGCACATACAGATGAAAATCACCTTACCAAACTACGTAGTGTTACTCACTGCCTACGTGGTAGAAGCGTTTTTTTGTGAAAAACAAGTCTTGGAAACATGGGCGTTTTTTCTTGAAAATCGGTCCCAAAAAGCGCTCATGCTTCCAAACACCATGTTTATAATATTTATTGATTTTAATATATGAATTTTATGTAATTATATTTAAAATTATAATATATATATATTATGTATTATATCAATGTTTTAAAAACCAAAACCGCATTGAACACCGATTTTTAGTCAGTGGTTCGACCATCTGATCTGAATGGATGGCCCATCACAATTTAAAAAATAAAAAATAATTGAAACAAAAAAAGGTAAAAAATCATTTATTAGGTCAAATGCATCGATGGTTCAATTACCTCTGAGTCAGTAGGTTGCTCACTAAGTCAACATTTTTTCACATAAGATCGAGTTTTGGGTGAAACGGAACTGATTGCCTAGATAATTTCAGGGCTGAACAGTCCAATGGTCTAGGTCAATGAAGGTTCAAAAACCATGTATTATATTATATATTACATTCAATATGTTGTATTCACATTAATTTACTATATATAAAAGTTGAAAAGTAATTAGCATTTTTTGTATTTTAAAAGATTAAAGTGGAGTTGGATTAAATCAGAACCCGATCCGAGTCTACTCAAATTCAAGATCTTCAAATCCAGTTGGACTTTAGATCGGATTCGAATGTAAGTTTTTTGACAATTGGATAGGACGACCCAAAAAGGCCCATATAGGAATTCAGGTGTATCACTTATTTGGACAAGTGAGTTTACTTAGACAAGTTTTTATGGAAAAAAAATTATTAGTAAGGTCAGTGCTAGTGTTCTTGTGCATTTTCACTTACCCGAGTAAAGAAAAAGGTGGGAGGGGATTAGTATTATTGGTGGGCAAGTAAGCAACTTACCCACCCTCTAGGAGGAGCAACTGATACTCCTAAAAATTTGTTTACCATGGGACCCAATATAGCAACATAAGAATGTGAGGATTGTGGTCAAATACTCAATTGCTAGTATCTCGTAGGGGTAAGTTGATCAACCAAGTATTTTACCACAATCCTCCTCATTTTTATACTACTATAATGGGTCCCACACTAATAAAACTTTTCGAAGATTTAATATTAGTTACCCAGATAAGAGGGTAGGTAAGTTGCTCACTCATCCATGATAACACTAATCCCCTCCCACCTTACCTGAGTAAGTGAAAACACACAAAAATACTGGCATTGACCTTACTCGGGCAACTTTTGCATAGGAAACACTTGCCTGGGTAAAACCTCTTAGGGTAACTGAAAGTGAAGAAGCTATTTCGCTACAAAGTGGATTTTATGGAAAGCAACAAGTCATATTTGGTGAAAATCCCATAGAATACCCTTTGATTTACAAGGTACCAATTGGCTGATTGGTAAGGTCCTTATCTTGATTATTTTGGATATTTGGGATCGAATGTCTATGTTGGGGGGTTATGGATTTTGGGGATGATACCCCCTTGTGTAGCTTCATGAAAAGAAAAAATAATATATTAATTTAAGGGAGAAATCTCTTAAACTACTCCTAAGTTTTACAAAATAGACTTACACTCCTATTGTTTTCAAAATCCCTTAAATTACTGTCAAAGTTTTTTCAAAATCCCTTAAATTACTGTTAAAGTTTTTTTCTAACAATTAACTAACTCTACTGTTTTAACTACTCTCTCTCTCTCTCTCTATATATACTCGGGCCAAAAAAGATCATTACTATCCTACATCATTTTGTTAACCATAGTCATTAGAGGATCAAAAGATTACTTTAGTTGAAGCAATGTGGAAAAACGTAAAACATTTACGAGTTACCCATTGAAGGTTAAAGCTTAGATTTGGCATATATTGGGTATTTGAATGGGATTGACAAAGATACCAAAGTTCACGTTGATCCAACTTCAAAAACAATTATTGGGTTTATGAAAAAGTGAACCAAACTGATGAGAGTGGACCAAAAATTTCGATTAACTGAACTGATCAATTCGTTTTCGGTTAACCGATATAAAAAAAAAAACCGTGGTTAATCGATCCAACCGATATATATATATATATATATATATATATATATTTGTAATGTCTAATATAATTATTTATTATTTATAATATAATATTTTATATTTATTAATATTATTTATTATATATTATTATGAAAATAAAAAACTGATGAACCAATCAACTAGTTAAYTGATCGACTTCAATTTGATTTCAGTTACCGATTTTCCAAAAATCGATACTATTGGTTCTGTTTGAAGAAAAAAGCCCATCGTTTGGTTTCCCTAGTTGGTCTAGATGGTCTTCTTGAACAAAACTAGTACATTAAATGTAGACGTGGTCACAAAGGGGTGGGGTAGTGAGTGGCTTATGAAGAATGAGAGAAAGAATCAATGTTTTGAAAACCGATCCAGAGGTTGAACCATTTTTGCCTCTGGGTCATGGGTCACCAGTATGGTTCAGATTATGCCATGTCTCTCTCTCTCTCTCTCTTTCTCTCTCTCTCTCTCTCTATATATATATATTATTAAGTATATATTTATATACATATATATACGTGTATAAATATATATTTTAGTAATAAATAATGTATAAATGTGTTTTAAACATGTTATATGTATTATTTTTATTTAATTTATGTTTTTTAATTCAGTTTTTAATTTTTTTTTATTTATAAAAAATATTAAAAAATTGCAATTTGAGGCCAAAAAGGGGTTTTTCGCAAAAATAGTGGGGCAAGGCGCTTACAGCCCTTGGGACGCATAGGTCTCGAAAAGTTACCCAAAATAAAAAATTACCCTAATTGGACATCAGAGTGCAAAGTTATGGCCTCCGAAAGTTTGCATGTATTGAGTGTGCGACCCGCAACCTGATCACTGGATTGAACGATTCTTGACCAAATCAATAGTTTTTGACCGTCTAACAAGTCTTGACTAAACTGGACCCAAAATCTGATCGAGTAACGGTCCAAACAATTCGACCGATCGGATCAATAACGGATTGAAAACATTGGAAAGAATATAAAAGAAAGAGATTTCAGCCATCCACAAGAAAGGAAGCACAATCCGTTGTGCAACGGTTGTGAATTATCGAAATGGTTTTACCAATTCCAACAAATTTTCCTTTTGAATTTGAAACTTGTTCGGATTGGATCCTTTCGGTTTCTATATCGAAGATATACTTACGAAGTTGTTCCAACTTATTGATTGGCACTAACCATAGATCCTTGCCCCTGAGAAATGAATCAATACTTACCTTAGGTTCAATATATAGCTGACAGCAATGCAACTTCTTCGTCCATGAATAGTGTGAAAATCCACAATGAGCAATGGAACACCTACCATGAAACCTTGTCTTCACTGAAATCACCAATCTCATTGTATCCATTTTTCCATCTATCACAAATCTTCAGATTTTGCTCACTGGCTTTCTTTTATTTGCAAGCGGTTTCTTACTCATGAAGCTCCATTATCGTGATGAGCACTCATAACGATTCTGACATTCTTCTCAAATCTCACTAGAGAAAAGGATTCCATTCATCAACGGTTTAGGACGAAGCTCCATTACCATCATCCATCATACCACATTGTTTATTCAAATGGTTCCATTTTGAAAACTTAAGGCTATGTTTGGTTTGAAGGAAAAGATAGGAAAAGAAAAGGAAAGATAAGAAAACCAATACAAGGTTGTAAAGGTTTCTCTACCTTTCACTTCCTTTCCCTACATTTTCCTTCAAACCAAAGGAGTAATGAAGGATAAAATAATCAATATTTCTCTTCCCATTAAGGGTTATGATGATTGTCAATTGTCATAAAACTTAGGCATACTTTAAAGGATTTTTTAAACAGCATGGGCAGGATTAATCAATTTCCCAAAACTTAGGGGTAGTTTAAGAGATTCCCCTTAATTTAACTTGTAAATCAACTTTCCAATAGAGTTGTTTTCAGTAGGTCAATCAAAAAAGTTTAAGCTCTCTGGGCTCTAAGTTTGGATCATTTGCATTTGGAATTAAAAGAAGGGATTTTTATCGTTCAGTCCACCTCTGAAATCCTAACTCCACCGTACAGTTGGGGGTAGGTGCCAGCTCGGAATTGATGCCAATTCACGGGCGAATATGAGTGTTATAGGTGGAGCTGTTCATAAATTTGAATTATTGTAGATCTGCAATTCAAATCTGAATTCTAAGGTGGAATGCAGGCTAAAAATCCCTTAAAAGAAATATTTCCTTGGAATCCAAACAATAGTTTATCTGTCAAAAGTTTGTAGATGCAAATCACAGACAACCAGTTTCTACCTATAACAGTAAAAGATTCCTCTTCATAAAATCTGATTTAAAAGAAGAGTAAATCTACGATGCTGGAAATGTATTATACACAAAGAA